CTCCAGTGACGCACACCACTGCCAAGCAAAGCACTGGCCAGGGCATCACCTTCCACTTGGCTCCAAAGCCCACCTTCCCCGTTTGTAAGTAGCTTTTGAGGACATATGAAATGCTACTAGAGAAAAAGGACATTTTCCAGACCAACCTTTGCTCATGTCCCACTCGCTGTTGAGAAACGCATCCTGTGCTTCTCCTTTTCCCACTGAACTGCCCCAGTTTCTTCACCAGAGGGAGCTCAAGCTTTTCAATTCCCACCCCTTCCGCCTTCCCCAAGACCGCCCAGACCAGCCTGGAAGCCTGCTCCAGCCCCCCACCCTGCACCCCATCCTTTACTGGGGAGCCCCATCCACCCTTCCCTGGGCAGCAGCACCCCATCCTTTACTGGGGAGCCCCATCCACCCTTCCCTGGGCAGCAGCACCCCATCCTTTACTGGGGAGCCCCATCCACCATTCCCTGGGCAGCAGCACCCCATCCTTTACTGGGGAGACCCATCCATCCTTCCCTGGGCAGCAGCACCCCATCCTTTACTGGGGAGACCCATCCATCCTTCCCTGGGCAGCAGCACCCCATCCTTTACTGGGGAGACCCATCCATCCTTCCCTGGGCAGCAGCACCCCATCCTTTACTGGGGAGCCCCATCCACCATTCCCTGGGCAGCAGCACCCAGTCCTTAACGGGGGAGCCCCATTCACCATTACCTGCGCAGCAGCACCCCATCCTTCCCTGGGGAGCCCCATCCACCCTTCCCCGGGCAGCAGCACCCCATCCTTACCTGAGCAGCCCCATCCACCACCAGCTGGAAGGACGCTCCCCCTGCGCCGAAGCGCAGGATATCCCCAGGACTCACTTTCACAGCCGCGTTTTGGACCCGGCAGCCGTTAACGAAGGTGCCGTGGGGGGAGTTGAAGTCCTGAAGGACGAAGCTGTTGTCCCAGGCGGTGAATTCGAGGGCCGCGTGACTATCCGCTACCCCTGCGGACTGCCACGGGCTATCAACAGGCAAGCAGGGCAACCTGCCAGAAAGCAGCTGAGGTTTGGATATTTATTTGCCGTGCCCCCCTCCCTCCGCTTGCTGCCCAGCCCGGGACCCCCTACGCTTCGCCCAGAGGACCCCGGTGCAATCCTCCTCCCCGCACACCCACACCACCACCCGTTTTACGAGGGTGGGCGTCCTCGCCCCTACCTGCAGGATGATGTCGGCCCCTTCGTGCCTGCCTATCGTCGTGGCGGTGCGCGGCTTCAGCTCAAAACACCTCTCCGAACTCTTCAGAAAGGCTCGCATCGTCCGCCCCCTTCACCTGCAAAGCTGCATTAAAAAAATAAACCCAACAACTCCTCATTTAGCAACGCGCCCCCCCCCCCCAACCCACGCAACTGAGCCCAGAACGTCTTTGACCGACTCGTACACTCGAAAATGTACGAAATCACCCCAAAGGCGGCTCTGCCATGGCCGGCAGCGTGGCCGCGGCCTCGCAGTAGCCCTGGAAACCCCGTCCGTGCGCGCCGGCGCCGCTGCCCTCCTGCCTGCGTTTCTCTCTTTGTTTTGGTTTCTTTATTTCGTCCCCTTTTCCCAAGCAACTGGCCAACGGCAGCACAACGCAGCTCTCCTCGCCAGCGGGTGACACAGGCAGGAACATGTCCCTGCTATCCAAAAACTCACCGGGGGTGGGGGTTATGCAAGCTGCCAGAGAAGATATTTTGCCCCTATTTTTCTTATTTTGCGCAAACAGGTCGTGCAGCCTCGGGCAGGCGGATAAACGTTGTCGCCTGGTGATGGGGACGCTGTCACACGTCAGCACGTTTCTCCCTCACCGTGCCTTCAGCCCAGGCTGCCACACACCTTTTTTTTTTTTCCCCCCAGCAGAAAAAGGGAAAAATAATGCACCGTTGCACTCTGCTCATTCCCACGCCTTTCCCGCACGGCTTTCCGAATTCTGTCAGTGTGTCTTTCGGTTGTGACTGCGGCGCCATTGGCCCCTTGGAGGTGGAGGGATCGGTGAACTGGGCGCAGCTCCAGCACCCATCCCACGGGTTTTGGGAAGGAGGGAAGTGCTCCAGCCCTCTATTGCCCCAAACCACCGCGTTCCCCACAACCCCAGCGTTGTCCCGTACGCTACATAACTGTAATCCTTCTGACACGCAGCCCAGGCCAGCTGGAAACAAGCCCAAACCTTGTATTTTTTATTTATTTTTTTAACAGCAAACCCCAAAATGGCTTTTTTTGGGACAGTTCTGCTCCAACCAGTAAGAAATTCCCGTGTCGCCCGGCTGCAAGGCGTAGGGTTCACCCTTTGGCCAGACTCCCAGGCACGCAGGCAGTGTGCCCACGAGGGCGGCTATTGCCCCACCGGGCTGGCAAGTCACCAGCCAACCCGTTCGGATGCCCCCCTGCCACATCACAGCGTTTCCCCTCAAAAATAACTTGCCCATCTACAAATATCCTGCAAACCAAAGGTTTCCTGCTATTCCCGGGGCTGCTCCGGTGCTCGGCAGGACCCGAATGCCGACCCCGGACAAAGGTGATCATTTGGCACCTCCGGCTCACCGGACACTGCCGGCACCTGCCAAAAAAAGAACCCCATGCAGGAGAACAGTTAGCAAGTCCTGCACAATTTTATCACGCTTCATTTTGGGGCAGAAGTAGCAGATTTTGCAAAGGAGAGCCCGAGAGCAGCACTGCGGCACATAGCCCGGTGCCGCCCACCTCCCCCAGTGTTTTTGTCCCTGCCTGTCCTTGTGAGGAAAGGAACTGGAACTTCGGCACCGAAACGCAGCAGCTGAGGTTTCCCAGCCCCAATCCAGCGCTGCGGTGATGCTTTTTAACACTAACGACCACCAGGCTTCCTCGGTCACGTTCTTACCAGGTCTGTGCATCTCGAGAGTTGCCATTGAGCATGATTGCCTTCCAGAGACGCTGAGATATACGGGCAACCTTAAACGCCTCACCTACCAGAGTGTCTTACCTGGAAAACACATCTCCATCATCCTCCCTTTCAGGATTAACTGTTCTCTTACAATATAGGGCCACCTCAGTTTCACACGGGGCCCAGCCCTCCTACAACAGCGATGGTCACAGCTTTGGAAGGACTCACGCTTCATCCCACATCTCCCTCTGCTTCCCACATACCATCAAAGGACAAGTATGCAAGTAGCTGGAGATGCTCATTAGCCATTCAGGCATCTTTCGCATAATCACGACATTAGTCACAGCCCGTTTCACTGCAGTCACTGCACTTTACGTCATTTTTTTCAGCTGTTTTCCTACATGAGCCATCAAGGAAGATTCTGGTCTTACCAGTTGGGGTCATTAAACTGGACTTTCTGTTAAAGACGCTCCAGCAAACTTCAACTCCCGACTGCTCGGACAAGAGGCTTCACTTTATTAACCCAATATTTCCCCAGATTTGCTAAGACAACTGCTACAGTTGCGTTTCTTCACCGGGAAGAGACGACTTCATGCCTGGCTCCCCCTGCACCCAGGCTCTTCAGGACACAACTTCCCAGGAGCTGCACCACCTTTCCAATTCCTCAACAACAACAATAACAAGAACTACATGGGACACCCCCTGCCCCAAATCCCTCAACTCTGGGCTATATATATATTTTTTTTTCCCCCCCTTCTCTTCAATAAGGGAGTCCCTTCTTTGGTGATGTGGTTTCACCCATCTGAGATGATGCCTTGGGGCACAGCAACGTGAAATTCCCATGATAACAACAACAGACATTAAGAGATGAGATATGAAATAGTATCTAACAAGATAAACTTGTATGGATTAGGACCAGCATCTCTTCTTTGTCCTCATTTAGGTCACCTGTGCTCCTCTCACACCTTGTATCACCCATACTGCCACCTCAGCCTCTGCTGACCGGTCCGTAACTGCACCGATATCAGCGCCGTACCCACACAGCCACATCCGTGCCGGCAGCCCAGAGGCCGAGGGCAGATTGGCCATGCCGACATCTGTTATCACTTCATGGGAGATGCTGCTTTCTACCCACACCATCAACATCCCCACCATTTGAGGGAGCCCGTGGCCGAATACGCTGATGACTTCATCGCCCACTGCTTGGCTGTTCGCCCGGGAGGCGGCGTGTGGCCGCGATGCCTGTGGAGCTGAAATCGCCCTAAAACAGCCGACTGATTTCATACCGCTCCGGCTTCCACGCCTTGGGAAAGGCCAACCGCGCACGAGTGCACACACACACAAACACAATGTACAAAACATTTATTCAGAGCAGGTCTGCTCGCACTGCGTGCTCAGCAGTCGTTTCACCCCGCGCACCTCCTGGCAGGGCTGCGCCCCCCCCGACCCCCGCCATCGACCCCCCCAGCCTCCAACGGACCGTCCCCTTCGCATCAGAGCACAAAACCCAACAGGGAGAGCAACCCAGGCAAGAAATCCATCCTCTCCCTCAGGAGCACGGGGCCCTGTTCCAGCCCCCTGCCCACCAGCAAGCACCGACCTTGGCAGGAGCTGGGGCTGGCCCTGGGCCACCAGCCCCAGCCTTGGACAGGAGTGGGGGAACGCCGCCACGCTACTCTGGCAACGCCGTCTCCCTCGCCCACAAAGAAAAGGCACTGAAAACAATGAGCGGTGCCCTTGTCCACTTGGAAAATCCTGTTCAGGATCAGTTCGGTGGCTTGGGAAAGTCCCGCTGGTGCAAGGGGGTGAGAAGATACATTGGGTGGTCCTTCTGTAAACCACCACAAATCACGTTTCCGGTACTTCCAGCCTTCATTTACTTCAGAGCAGCAGACCTACCGGCATTCACATTTCTTTCCCCACGATCTTTTGTCAAACCCCATCCCGGGGAAAGCCTGTCCCATGTCCCCGTGCCGCAACGCGACGCACCCATGGTGTCCTCCACATCGCAGCTTCCAGGGAGCCCTGATGGCCTTCGCACCCGCAGACCGAGCCCCCTCTTAGTGTGATTCCTTTTTTTAAGAAAAAAAATTAAGAAAAAAAACCCCCAGCAGCGTCACCGATTCCCTCTTCTCTAAGTCATCTGCTGCCTCTCTGGCGCTTTCTCCTGGATGTCCTCGTACTTGGGCGGTGGGGTCAGCGGCTCTATCGTGATAGGGGCGGTGCTGTTCCCCTCCATGAGGTTCAGCCTGATGTCCTTCAGGTGCAGCTTCTCTGACTTGATCCTCCGGATCTTCAGCGGCTTCAGGCGCTTGCTGAGGCGGGAGCTGTGCCGGCCGGGCTGTCGTTCCGTGCCGGCCTCCGCGCCGGCAGCACCCGGCGGCTGGGTGCTTTCCTCCAGCCCCGTCAGTGACTCGTAGGAGGGCAGGGAGACGCTGAGCCTGTTGCTCCTGTCCGAGTCTCTGGGCTCCGAGTAGCCCGTGTTCATCACCTCCTCGTAGCTGGGGACGTAGTACTGGGAAGACGTGTCTTCGTCCTCTTCTTGACTAGAGGGGAAAACAATTGAGGCTATCAGGAGTGCATCGTTGCAGCTTCACTGCAGGTAGGGGATGGAGAGGAGAGAATAAAACAACCCCTCCAAAAAAAAAAAATTATCAACTTCCTTGCCCTTCTACATTATATACCAGTTCCTTTCAGTTTAAGAGACCAGATCATAGAATCGTTGAGGTTGGAAGGAACCTTTAGGATTATCAAGTCCAACCATTAACCCACCCTGACAAAACCACTTCTAAACCATGTTCACAAGTACCACCTCTACCCTTTTTGTCAACACCTCCAGGGATGGCCAATCCACCCCCTCCCTGGGCAGCCTCTTCCAACGTCTGATAACCCTTTCCCTGAAAAAAATTATCCTAATATCCAACCTAAACCTCCCCTGGCATAACTTGAACCTGTTTCCTCTCGTCCTATCACTTGTCACCAGGGAGAAGAGCTCAGCCCCCACCTCTCTGCACCCTCCTTCCAGGGAGCTGTTGAGAGCGAGAAGGTCTCCCCTCAACCTCCTACTTCTCCAGGCTGAACACCCCCAGGGCCCTCAGCCGCTCCTCACCACACTTGTCCTCCAGACCCCTCACCAGCTCCGGTGCCCTTCTCTGGACACGCTCCGGCACCTCAATGTCCTTCTTGTGGTGACGGGCCCCAAAACTGAACGCAGCACTGGAGGTGAGGTCTCACCAGTGCCCGGTACAGGAGGATCACAACCCCACTGAAATATATACAGACAGGTTTTTATTTCCTTGTGACATCCATCTGTCTTTGGTCATCACTCCCTTTGCCCACAAAACCTCTTTACAGGTTGCCCAGCAGTAATCTCTCCCCCCAGCAGAACACTGCCTTCTCCCCTCTCCACAAACCAGTCACCGTACGTTCGGAAGGGACATCGCCACTCCCCGTCTTTGCCCTTTGGATACCTTTCAGGTTGTCTATCTACCTGGAGTTTTAATGCCTGGAGACTCAGCTGCGCCACACGTACCCATCCACGCCAGCGGTACCCGCACACCTATATGTGGCATTTCTCCCGCATTACGAAGTTACCTTTAGAATCTAATAGGGAAAAGCAGTTTTCCAGGTGGATGTGCACAAACAGGGTAACTTCCCCACAGTCTCCGGTGGCCGTTCTCCCCACGCTGCAGCCAGCAAAGCCAGCGTCTCCTCCTGCCACCTCCCACCCCACGCCATCCCGACGTCCCCCTGCCTCTCCCCACACAGGCACAGCCCGCACCGGGGACTGCCACCATTCCCCACTCCGCCGGCACGGCCGGGGGCTTCTCCAGCGCCCCGTGTTTGCTCAGACCGTGACCGCGGCGGCGGCAGCAGCCTTTGCTCCGCTGGTTGGAGTTCCCCGAGCAAACGGCAGAGCCCTGCAGACTTTCACCGGGTCGAAACTCCATTTCCAGCCGCTGCCTAACTCCGGCTGTCTCCCGCCA